CCACTTATTTGGTAAACAAAGCACGTCACTCGTATGATAGATCTCCTAAAAGGCTGAAAATAAGACTTTACACGCTGTATTGTCACTAAATCATGTGAACATTTTCATATCAGTCAATAATATTACTGAAACTATAATAAAAACCGAATTAATATAAATTGACACACACTTACACAAGTTAATAAATAGACTCAATGATGGGCTAAAAATCAGCGGATTTCAGCAGACTACAACAGCTACCTTAATAGACCTTTTTTAGAGATGTAAACAAAAACAATGGTCCCAACGTATCTCCTGTTTTACATTTTAATTTCTTTCGCGAACAAGAATCCTAAAAGATCGCTGTGATATATGCTGTTAATAGCTATTTTAACATTATGTTAAGTCTTGTCGTACTTATGAAATAGTTTGATAATAGGAACGAAATATTTATTGGCCAATGACATGACCACATAGAAATGATCTATATCTATTAATAAACAGCAATTTAGGAGTTTATTGAGGCAAACGTCATCGTTAATGGTTTGTTAAAAGCAGAGTTCACCCAAAAATTGACATTTTACTCATAATTTAATCACACTAAAATGATTCTCAGGTTTTTTTTAAGTTGAACACAAAAGAAGATATCTGAAGAATGTTGGAAACCAGTAACCATTGACATTCATAGTAAAAACAAAAATACTATTACAGTCAATTTTTCCCCAACATTCTTCAGTATATCTTTTGTGTTCAAATGAAGAAACTAGTGGAGGATGAGCTAATGATGACAGAACTTTCATCTTGAGTCTTTAACTGTGTCTTAAAATAAAGTGTGACCAAATAATGTTCTGCAAATAAATCTACCTTTACGCATGGTCACATCAAACAAAATACAGATTGATGTGTGAGATTTAAATCACATTTCCAATCACCCCAAACCTCGACATCTTGTCATCCACTCAGACATTACACAGCAAACACAAAACAAATCAGTCAGAGGCTGAAAATGATCCTGCGAGTCAGAGCTCATGTTTCAGCAGAGCCACGTTTAGTCCCTCAATCTCCCGCAGATCCAAGCGGAGGCCTTCAAATTCTGTCAAAACACTCAATATCAGGGCACCAAAACTCATGAGCTCAACAAACACCGGCCCTACAGGAGCTATTAATAAACGTGTCTCCACTAAAGAGGAACGGAGCACATTTGGGGGGTCAGTAAAACGACAAACACACGTCTGCTGAACACACATACCTTCCGATGGCTTCCTTTATGAATGGAAAATACATCCAATGAGAGAAAGTGTGTGTGTCAAACTCCGGAGAATAGATAGTTGGAGGCCAAAAAGTAAAGCTCAGAGTCTCACTGTCACTGCGAGGGTGAAGCTGCAATCTGAAATAGAGTGGCATGAACACACACACACACACACACACACACGGAGATAAGCATGGCAGCTGAGTTAACACAAGTCTCCGCTATAAATAACCCTCAGTCAGAGGAGGTGGGCCGCAATACCCTGTTTGGGAAACACTTGAGTGCTGTAAACGAGGGCAAACTGGACGGACACACCGGAGACCAGATTGATGATTTCAAAACACGGTACATTCATACGGGCGCGATAGATTTAACGTTACTCACCCATGCGTTTTTCCAAAGACACACGACTTTTAGTTTGGTACAACAAGGAGATATTTTGAATAACTTAACCGTGACGATTCAAGATGTTCGTGAGGAGAATACAACATGATTTAATTTAGTATTTATTAACCATAGATATATATACATTAGATGTCGCCTGGCCTATTGTTGTCTATAGGACGGAATGCGTCAGTAGCGCCGCCATCTTGGTACAGGGTAGCGCTCCTTTGAAATGAATGCAGGACCAAGGTACAGTGGACTGTGGCCATGCAAAGCCAGAGATATACACATATACACATATATCTATGATCGGGAGTTTCCTGGATGTTAGTATGCAATTTTCTTTTCTAATTACGAAAATTATAATTTTACATCACTTTTTTACATTGATGGATCAGTGACCGCACGGGCATTCCTGACAAAAAGCTTGTGTTTGTGTGTACAGAAATGTACTATCCACATATATATCTATGTTTATTAACAAACAACGAGCGTTAAACGTCGAGTAACGAACTATTCAACGATTCCCGGGCAACATCAGAGGACGATCCTCATTGGTTGTTGTAAAGGATCAAGAATGCAGCGTGACATGCAACAAGGAAACTCATTGGTTGTCAAGTATGATCATGGACTGTGTGAACATCTATAAACTATCCATTTTGGTTTTCGACAATAGTGATTTTATATAGACCATTTTGAGGGATGTAAACGAAAACAGTGGTCCCAACCTTCCTGTTTTACATTTTCAACCTCGAAAATCCAAAAAGAGACACATATTGATAAATAATGTTATGATAGCTGTTTTAACATTAAGTTGAATCTCTTCCCTGCTGAAAAAAAACAGCTTAAACCAGCCTAGGCTGGTTTGCTGGTTTTAGCTGGTCGACC